ATTCTTTATTAAGTTTTCTTAAAAAATTTCGAGATACATACATTTATATAAGAAAAGTACTCAGATGTTGAAAAAAATTGATTAATTCGAGACACGAGGTTAGAATAATTTATTAAAATTACATATGTTTGCAATAAAATATAAACTTCAATGTGGTGTTCTTTAGTACGTCGACAACGCTAACAAATACTAAAATCTATAAGTTTTCTCAAGAAAATTTGAAAATAAATACATTTATATGAGAAAACTAGCCAGAAGTTAAAAAAAATTGATTTTAAGGCACAAGATTGAAAAAATTTATTAAAATTGCTTATGTTTACAGTAAAATGTCTAAACTTCAATATGCTATTCTTTAGTATGTCGACAACGACAACAAATACTAAAATCTAAAAGTTTTCTCAGAAAATTTCGAAATATCTACATTTATATGAGAAAAGTACCCAGAAGTTTGAAAAATTGATAATTTCGAAGCACAAGGTCAGAAAAATTTATTAAAATTAGTTACGTTTTTAGTAAAATGTTTAAACTGTAATATGTTATTACTCAATATGTCTACAATAATAAAAAATATTAAAATTGATGAGTTTTCTCGGAAAATTTTAAAATATATACAATTATATGAGAAATGTACCCAGTAGTTGAACAACCAAACAATTGATAAATTGAAGGAACAGGGTTAGAAAAATTCATGAAAATTACTTTCAATCTTAGTAAAATGTTTAAACTTTGATATATTATATTTCAATATATCTACAAGAATAACAGATACTACAATTAATAAGTTTTCTCAGAAAATGTCTAAATATTCACATTTCTATGAGACGAGCACCCAAAAAATTCAAACGTAAAAAGTATTAGTACTACACTAATTGCAAATTGTTTTATCAAATTGTTCGTTATAAAGAATTGACTCATTAGAATATTTTACAACTTTATGCAGTGCTCTATACAATATTTCAAACTTTTTTTCAATGTATAAAATTTTATTAAGTATTAACAACTAGGATCTTTATTAAGTCAGATTAATATACAGATGGGATAAAAACAACAAAGGTTTTTTTTATATTTTTTACATAATTTACACCAACTATCCTATTACAGAATCTTATTTGGCACAGGAGCATTAAAGCACATCGGTTCGCCGATAAAGACAATTTATGATTCAAATAACTTTTTTCCTACTATCCAGCAGATGGAAAAAGCAGATTCAGGTAAATAATATGATCAAAATCACGGATAAAAGTCATATGTTAGGAGGGATATAATCGATTTGATATCTAACGAAAAATTAAATATTTAAAAATCCAGAGAAAAATATATGTAAGTCAATAGGAATATCAAAATTAATGACAAACTTTAGAATAAAAATATTTCGTTAAATTTTAGAAGTATAATTTCCATTAAACTTAACATTTTGAGGAATAATAAATCACAGAATATAAGACAAGATGTTTTCTCAAATCCTGGATTAAATTGACGTAAATGATAAAAATGCGAAAAAGTTATTTTGACTATAATCAAAGTTTCATAACAAATACTGAAATTGATAAGTTTTTTTGGAAAATTTTAGAATATGTACATTTATATGAGAAAAGTACCCAGAAGTTTGAAAAAAAAGATAATTTTAAGGCGGATAGTTAGGAAAATTTATTAAAATTAGTTAAGTTCTTAGTAAAATGTTTAAGCTTTGATATTTTATTTTTCAATATGTCTACAACGATAACAAAAACTAAAATTTATAAGTTTTCTCAGAAAATTTTGCATTGTATATATTTATATAAAAAAATACCCAGACATCTAAAAACTAATTGATGATTTAAAAGAACAAGGTTGGAATAACTTATTAAAATTACTTATATTCTTAGTAAAATGTTTAAACTTTAATATGTTATTTTTCGATATATCTATAATGATAACAAATACTAAAATCGATAAGTTTTCTCAGAAAATTTTGAAATATTTGATTTAAAACTAGTGGGGCGCATGGCATCGTGCCTTAAGGCCAATTGCTCAAACTTCCCGTACCAAAAATTATTTTTTTCAAAAAGATTAACGTTTTTGAAAAACAATTACTCTGAAAAAATTAGATTTTTGAGAAACTATAAATTTTTGACAAAGATTTACTTCGTTTTAAAAAAAAAAAGACTTTTTGAAGGAAAATTTATATTGAAATATTTTGGAAATTCTGAACTCTTTTTTAAAGCAATGGTACTGCTTTAACTGCATAGAGACGAAATATCGAAGCGCTTAGGCGCTGTGTCCACGTCTAACTGTTAAACATTGGTACGGAACCCTAGGAATGTAAACAAAATTTATACTTATTGTTAAAATCTCTTTAAAATATCTGATAATTTGATGTGCATATGTCTAACGACAATTTTGGACCGCCAAACGGCATTTTTTTCACTTTTTTTACTAGATCTCCGAAACCGCCAGACCTACCTTTATGAAAATTTGATCAGTTCTTCATCTTGTTAATACAAGTTTTTGATTTATTCAAATCGGACGCTCCGTTCTCTTAAAAACTGAGTTACCGTTTTCGGCACTTTTTGCTCCATATTTTCAGAACGACTAGACCTGCCCTTGCCAAAAACTAATCAGCACGTCTCCTCATAAATACGAATCGAATGTTTTTTGAAATATTCAAATCGCTTCATTTGTGTTCCCGAAATCGTCGACAAATTTTGTATCCGCACACACACACCCACACATCAATTTTTTCTAAGGTATGCCAAAATGTTCAGGAGGTTTTGAAACGTGAAGATATATAAAAATTTTCATATTCGATTTTTTTGCGATTACTATAACTTGCCCTACGGAAAGTTGATAACATGTATTTGATATGAACAAGCAGAACCAGTAACAAATAATGTACTAACCTTTTTATTTGCTGGAATCATCACACACGTTTTATTGAACACTTGTTTTATTGAACAAAGCACTATATAACAAATAGGTTAAAAATTTTATTTAAAATTGTCCGCTATTACTCGCGACAAATTCACAAACAAATCTGATCCTTAGAAAATCACGTGGAATCAATGGAAGTACGTGAAGAGTTCGCGCAAATTCTCCCAAGGTCATGCCGTCGAAGAACAAAAACACCACAGTACAATAATAAATTTGATTGTAACTAAATCATTAACACTAAAAGCATACGATAACTAATAGTAAAAGCATATTAGTATTCTAATATTAAATATCAAAGTATTAATAAATTAACTTTTAACCCAATTACTTACGATTACCGACGATCGGACGACTACCGGCGCGACGCAAGAACGTCCGTGTCCTCCGAAATTTCAATCGAAACTAACACATGACCTTCAAATTTCGTCCCTTTCAATGCAATAAGGTAAAATTGTGCCGAAAATTGCCGAATTAATACGTTTGAATACGATTTGGTGAAATATCGCATAGCAACAGCAATTGCATTTTTGCATAAGATATGAACAAGTAGCAGAGATGGTGAAGATACCATTGTAAAATATGGATGGAGGACAAAGTATTTACATTATTATGTGAAGAAACTTATTACTCATAAAATTTATTTGACGTCTATTGGGCAGGTGTAAATTATATTCATAATGAAAAACTAGTGGAGCGTATGGCATCGTGCCTTAAGGCAAATTGCTGAAACCTCCCGTACCGTAATGAAATATTCGAATATTCGAGAAATTTTAAACGTTTTCGAATATATTATTATAAATACTGTAACTTTCATTACTTTTGCTGTCTTGTTATATCTGAGCAATCAAAATCAAATGTAAATCATGAAACAAATTATATCCAGAACATTAACAATCGTCATTTTATTTCGAATTCAATTTAAAAAAAATTGCCAAAGTTGCCTCTAATTTACACAAAATTGAAAAAGTGCTCCCGTATAGTCACAATCTAAACGCATTTGCAAACAATTCTGTGCGACATTTTCACTTATACTGTGCTTAGCTTGGCGGCAATTTCACATTTTTTCAATAGCAGTTTATTTACGTTCACGAAGCAGTTTATTTAATTTTATGTTCACGAAATTGGAAAAATGTTCTAATACTTAAACAGTCTAAACGCACTTGGATAAACATTTATACCAGAGTGGCGCTAAGACTGTGCTTAGCCTGGGTAATTTTTTGAATTTTTAATCCAAAATTACAAAAAATTTTTTGAAAAAAAAAATAGAAACTGAATTTTTTCCCGAAAGCAATTATTTTATTAAAACAAGCAGAAAGTTCTTTAAATCATTCAAATTCGACGCTTAGTTCTCTCAAAAACTACCAATTTTTTAACATTCAGCTCTGTATCTCCGAAATCGCCGGACCTGCCTTTGCCAAAAACTAATAACCACTTTTCCCCGTCATTACGAACTGAATGTTTTTTGGATCATTCAAATTGGATGCTCCGTTCTCTCAAAAACTCGATTTCTATTTTCTGCACTTTTTGCTCCATATCTCCGTAACGGCTGGACCTGCCTTTGCCAAAAACTAATCAGCACATCTCCCTATTAATAGGAATCGAATGTTTTTTGAACCATTCAAATCGGTTGATCCGTGCGTCCGAAAACGTGACTGGAAATGTGTGTCCATACATACATACACACACTCACACACACACATCCATTTTTTCTGAGGTATGCCAAAATGTTCAGAAACCTTCGAAACGTCGAGAAATGCAAAAATTTTCAATTTCGATTTTTGGACGATTACAATAACTTACCCTTATATAGTTCATAAATCTTAAGCAATAACTCATAACTCATAAATATTACCCTAAGAAAATTTTCATTCCTAATTGATGATTATTAAAAAATGTGACTTATTAAAAGCTTTAGAAAGATTTATCTATTATTTTAAAAATATTTCGAAAACTTTGCGATGGCATTTACACTTTACCGATATAAAATATAATTTTTTATATAACTTAAGATAACTCTTTAATAAAATTTGTGTATTAATTTTGAGTAAAACTATAAAAATAATAATACAAAATGAATTTTTTTAACTCACCCGAATCGGTGGCATGTCGACCAGCCCAATCCGACTCTGTAAATAAAAAAAAATTGAAATCAATAAAATGAATATGAAATTTCCCCTTTAGTTTATTTATTATTAATGACTACGCTGTATGAAAATTCATATATCGAAAAAATATGAATAAATAGTTGATGTAAACATGATATTGGAATTTCGAATATGAAAAATTCAATATGCAAATGAATAAATGAATATTTGATTAAATAAATAAAATAATGTAGCGTAACTGTAGTAAATTGTAATAAATATTTATGAAAAGCTAATTTTGCAATTAAAAATATTACATAATAAATAAATTTTAAATATTAATATGGCGTCATTGTGAAATATCCTATTTAATTAAGTTGCTATGAATTTTGAATTTTGAAACAACGTATGAAAAATGTTTTTAATCAAATGACTCATGTCTGTCCAATTTAATTAGTTTCGTTCAAAAATGCAAAAAATGTATTAAAATTTATTTTAACAAATATTCAAGATCTTGCAAATTAATTTGTCGTAATGCATTGTATTATAAAGCACAGCAATATTCTTTCCAATTCATTTGTTTTGGCTTAAAAAAATACGTAAAAGACTTAAATTAATTTTTTTTTTTCGAAAATTGTTCAAAGTATGTTATCAAGAATCTACAATTTTAATAAAAAGTCTAGTTAATTTGCTATAAAGTCAACTTACAGCGATTAATTCTCTTTTTATAGGATTAATTATTTTTTATCATTTAATATGCATTACCACGATTTAATCACTGATTCTATTTTTATAATTAGCTGTTTAATTTTAAATTAATATACTTAATTTTATAATATTATTTGTGTAAAACGAAATGAAATTTTATGAAATATTTAGAAAAATTAAATGTATATCACTTAACAGCTTCGATCGAACTAAATAACTGGTAAGTCTTGAAGGACAAAAACTGAATGAAATGTGTTGTTACGTAATATTTGTATTCGAATTCAAAATAAAGATAGGTTTACATTAAAGGTCGGTTTATAATATTTTTATATTTTTAATACATTAAAATTTTGGACTTATTTAACATCATTAAAAAAAACCAGACATTTTTTATAAAGAGCTAGAAATGATTTGTCTAATTAAAAATGTAATGAATACAAGTTTGTAATGAATAAATCTGTTGGTTTGTTTAAGAGGGTATTCTAGTGTAAAAATTCACAAAAATCGATTCTTTTTATTTCATATTTTCAAAGTTTAACTATCTAAGAATATGTGTACGAGAAGGTTTTTGAAAATTTGAATTATTTTTGGAGATATAGGCATTTTACTGACTCGGTCTCCATATTGGTTTGGCTTCACGCAAAACTTTAAATGCGTTTTTCTCAGAACAGACTTTTTCAGTACTGTTGACACGATTTCTCAAGTTCTACTCGACCGATTCACTTGAAATGTTCAGAGAGTCTTGTTTATAGACCTATCTATTGGTGCGTATGAATAATTTGTTTAAAATTTAATTCTAAACACTTTTGCCAAAAACACCATTCAAATTCATCAAACAGTTTAGGAGTTATCGATTTTTTTGTGTTTTGTGTCTATAAATCGATTCCCCGCCGCCCCTGGACAAATTTGATTTAATCCAGTAGCGCTTTTAGTGTTTTCTCGAGCGATGAAAATTTTAGTGATGAGAATCTTGATGCCCTCCAATTGTTTTATTTAAAACTATTTTTTCTATTTTGAAAAAACTGAAAATTTGTTTCTCTATTAAGGCACGCTTGATTTTTTTATATCGATATATAAAATTATAATATATATATAGTAAGTTTTTATTAGACGAGTAGCTGGTGTATCGTTTACTATTGATGATTGATTTTTATGTATTTAGATAATTACTATAAATATATATTAAATATAATATAATATATAATATATAGCCCGAACTAGGATTATCCCCAAATTCCAATTTTCACTATTTTTAAAAAATTCGAGAAACTCAAAAAACTAGTTCAGGCGTTTACAACATCATTGTAGATTAATAATCTTTTTAATTTTTGCATTTGCGGTGGCTAGGAGGGCTGAAATCATGTCAATACTGAGGTGCCAATTTTTTGAGACCACCCACTTCATCAGCAGCCAGTTTTTACAATTTTCAACTTTTTTTTCTAATTTTTGTTTTGTATTTTAATAATATTAATAAACAAGTGGTAAAAAATGGATAGTAAAAACATCCATTGCTTTCTTTTACGACACTTTAAAAATGACCTAAAATTCATCGCTCTACACTAGAATACCCCCTTAAGGAAATACCCGAAAAGACTGGACCGATTTTGACCAATTTTTTCTGGAAAATACCTAATGTAATTGGGCTTAACTTAAGATACTTTTATTTTAAAAAAAAGTACATTCGCCCCTATTTTATAATATCTAAAAATGCAACTCCACGCGAAAGAAGTGGCAAATGATGCATCTAGTGATAAATGAAAAAAATTGATTATATGGCATATAGGTTTGAAATGTTAGGTAAAAATATAATTAGCATCTTCTCAGTTTTTTTACGTTCCATTATACAAATATATTCCATTTTACATATATATTGCAACAATTTTTTATCTCACATATTTCCCAACCATCATCCCCAAACATTTATTTTTCTCCACACGACATTTTTATATGTAGAAAATCTCCGGTATTTGCTCGCACAGGCGTTTCGCATATCTTATATGTATAATATATATGTATATACTTATTCCAAATACCATATTTTATATACTTATATGCGATGATATGAAATATAATTTGATACACAAGGCATTCGAATATGATTTGAATTTCCATCGAAGTGGAAACTCACAGTCGAACAAACAGATCCATCAAATTGTGAGGGTTAACCCGTTCTTTGTGTCAACTTTACGGTGAAACAGTCACATGGAAAATATTTACTGTAGTTTTATTGGATTTGTGAAAGATCGATGGAGGAATGTGATGTTTTTGAAGTAAAACTTCTTTAGGGAGTGGACTCAGCAAAATCCGGACGGTATTGCGTTACGCCGCGAATACTTCGTCGTCATTGACCATCAATGTGATCGTTCAAAAAAAATTGATGTGATTGGTTGAGATATCACGTCATACCTTTATTTGAAGTTTTTTGAGAAATGTTTAAAAATGTCCCGAATTCATGTATTACAGAAATGCGAAACAAATTAGTTCAATAGTTCAGTCATTATAGTAAGTTCACCTCGAAATTCGAGATACCCAGCTGTAAGTCTGCAAATACTTGTATTTTGCACCTTAAAAGTTGTCTCAAAACCTACATTTGTTGCGTAGACCCTACCATATGTAGGTTTTGACACAACTTTTAGAGTGCAAAATGCAGGTATAGCAATAAAGAAAAAAATGTCCTAATTTCATATATAGAAAACTTGTATATTATGAAAAGCTTGAAAAGCGAGGCATACTAGTTTCATTTTATTTTTGTTTTTGAGTATATAAAATAGTTTATACTGAACTGAAGTGAATATTATCTAGTTTCTCCTAAGCTTAAAAACAAATAGTATCCGTAAGGAAGTTTTTAAGTTTTTTAAAGAAATGTTGAAAAATGACCCAAATTCATATGTAGATAACTTGTACATTATAAAAATGCCAGGAAAACTAGTTTTATTCAAAATTTATGTATTGGAATATGTATATAACACAGTTTATACTGAACTGTAGCAAATTTTATCTAGTTCTAGCTTTTAGAAAGAAAACAGAGTGTGCAAAACAAAATTTTCAAGGTTTTTTGAAAAAATGTTAGATTGTCAAATATTCATATATAGCAAACTTGTACAATATAAAAATGCGAAGCACACTAATTTTATTCAAAATTTTTGTATCAAAGTGTATGAAACAGTTTATATTGAACTCTAGTAAATTATATCTAGTTTCTGCTAAGCTAAAATAAAAATAGTGCCCGGAAAAAAAGTTTAAAGGTTTTTTAAAAAATGTTAAAAAATGACCCAAATTTATATATAGGAAACTTGCACATTATAAAAATGCGAAGCATACTAGTTTTATTCAAAATTTTAGTATTGGAGTATATAAAACAGTTTTTAGCGAACTTTAGTAAATTTTATCTAGTTTTTGCTAAGCTAACCAGAAAAGAGTGTCCAGATTTAAATTTTTCGATTTATTTGAAGATATGAATAAGAATATGTAAGTGAATTAACAAAAATTGTATTACCAATTTTGTAAATTTTATTTAGTTTATGAAACTAAAGAAAAAAGAGTGCTTCAACAAAATTTTGAATTCAATGTAAAAAAATAACACGTAACTAATTTGTGTTTTGAAATTGTATTTTACTTAATAGTTCACGTCAACGGTGATTAGCAAAAAACATCTAAACTATATACTTCTAAATGAATCAAAAAATTTAATACTTGAACTACATTTCATAGGCCTATAATATTTTATAATATTCATAAAATTTCACAGTAAGATTTTGATTTGCTACTTTTATCTGCATAATATATTTAACCAGTAAATTGATTAATATAATATTTCCACATTTCTGGTAGTACGTGCAAAATGTTACTCACAACAACTACATATTTTATATAGTCATAGGCCTCAAATCATTATAACAAAAAAGTCTAAACACCTTGACATTTCAGAAAATATTTAATTTTTTTTTTAAATTGCATTTTCAATAGCCAGTTGTACTTGTTTTATATCTATGATGAGTATAGCCGTCAACATACAGGATTTTGTCACTTCTTCATGACGAGTATATTCGTCAAAAACATGTACTGATTAATGTAATATTTTCTAACGCGCTTCTTTATTTCTATATACTTTATTTTATATGAATGACAAGTAAATCCGTCACCAAACAAAGTTCTTCCACTTCTCCATGACGTGTATATTCGTCAATCGCAATTACCTAGTAAATGTAACATTTTCAGAACCGCTCCTTTATTTCGTCGCTGACGGGAATGTCATCGAGTGTAAATTCGGAAGCGGTAAATAATTCGGTGAGTAACGGAGCGGAGTTTAATGGACGCCCTCAATCCGCCTCATC